GTCGGGTTTAGTGCTCATTTCTTTCCATCTAAGTGACGTTGCTCTGCGTTTATACCTCTCGAAGCCTTCCCGAAGCCCCAGTTTTTATACTCGAGATCAGAAGGAAGTCTTACGCTCCCGAGGATCCCGAGAATTCCCGTTTTCTCTAGTCGAAGTTCTGCTCGATTCTTTGTCTTAACTTCTTCAAGCTACCACTTCAATCAAGTGATTTCATACCCCTTTTTATACACCTTCAAATACTTTATAATGTACTTGCAATACATTTCGGGGGAGAATACAAGTAAACACACGGTTCATCCCGAGTGAAAAAGTGAAAACTCTTGTTATACTTTGCATGCATTAGATTTATACAAAATGCATAGTATCCAGGGTAGCCATCCTTGTTAAACCATTTTATGCATTCAAGGAACTTATGATTTATGCTTTGTCAAACATTGTGAAAGAGGATAAACATTGCATACAAAACTATTATTTTAATACAGACTTAGTTGAGAATCCGTGAGCCGATTACATCTTAAATGCTACCTTTTTGTTAAAAGGTACTACCTAAAGTTCTGTCTATTATAACCAGAGTCTCCCGTTTGGAGAGCGTGTCAAATATGTATAGATCTATACGGGAAGTCATGATCCCGCGCCCTGACTGTTAGCTACAGTCCTTTGGGAGACAGTTTGTCATAACGTTTCGACGCCTGAAGACCGTCGCCACATGCATATTATGTTTAGTATGGTTATAAAATTCACCGGATGGACAATTATTATGGTATCCTGCTTTTATGAATGAATAGCTATTAAAACTATCCTTCATCTAACAAGTGCGATCTTATAGCTTTATTAATTAAAACTATGCCTCAACCTTTTTAAGCATGTCAGTTGCTTGCGATTTTCGGTCTTGGACATTAGAGACTACCTGTTATCTTAGGAAAATAAGGGATTTTCCTATATCCAAAACAATCAACTAATAGGAAAATGAGGGATTTTCCTAGTACAACTATTTACAATTCACAACCCGAACATTCATATGCATTTCATACTTTATTAAGAAAATAAGGGATTTTCTTGGAAAACGCACGAACTTTGGAATGGTATACATTGTCTCAAAACCGCTTAAGAACTCACCAACTTAATTGTTGACACTTTTTCTTTGAAATAACTTGTATTTTCAGGGAACCGCTAAGCAGGTTTGGAAACCAACTTTTGGGGATTAACACTCTGACGTTAATTACTTCTTTTGAAATATGTTTATGTATTTATCTTTTGAACATGTAATGAATAAAATTATGTAAACATTTTGAAAACTTTTTATATATGGTGGTGTGTATTTTCCTTACTATGAACTGTTATGATATTGAATATGACGTCCTCCACCCCCGAACGTTTCCGTCGTTCTGGTTTGGGGGTGTGACACAGTCCATTTGCCCAGTACGCTAAGCGTACATAAGAGGTACGTTGGGCATACGCACTCATGAGAACTTGGGCCTTAGTGGACTTTGGACCTTTGGGTCTTAAGATTTTGGGCCTGGATTTGTGGTTTGTTGGGTCTAAATGTATCTTGGGCTAATATTGGAATACTTGGCCTATTAGGCCTTGTGGCCCAATAAAGAAATGGACTTCATATCTGTGGGCCTCGGTTTAGACCAATTCTTGGATTAGGTTGGTGTGGGCCAATTGGGGTTAGGATTTTTAACTAAGGAGAAGATTGGGCTTTAGTATAAGGTCCATTAGAACTGATCAGGCCCAATTTGGAAAACTGTGTCATTGATGGTTTTATAGACATTATAATGTTGGGTTTTTGTTTTGGGTTTGGTCCTTAGTTTTGGATTATACTGAGCTAGGGGTAAAATGGTCATTTTACCCCATGCATGGATTAAGGATTATGGTATGGGACCCAATTTCTAATTGGGTATATTGATTGGTAGTGATGAATCGGGAAGCTGGCGGGGCAGCAGCTAAGGAATTCATGTGGGAAGCTTCTGCAGTGCGAGGTGAGTCTTTTCACCATACCAATGGGTTTAAGGCACCAAGACTGGTCTATTTATTTAGTTGTGATGATTATTATGAATGTGTTATCGATACATTATGTATTATGTATGTGACCATGTGGGGGTTCCCATGGAAATTAGTTATATGTGGTATGCTAGTTGATTGTGTGGTATTTGATATGCTAGTTGTCTTTGTGATGCTTGCATGGAAGACCCAGGAGGTTCCCGTGGCAGTGGATTATGACCATGTGGGGGTTCCCATGGCACATGGTATAAGAGTCTGGAAGGTTTCCATGGCATCCCAGTACGTTTATTTTGCATGATTTGTATTTGGTAGTAGAGACCCCGGGGGGTTCCCGTGGCAGTGGATTGTGACCATGTGGGGGTTCCCATGGCACATGGTATAAGACCTTGGAGGGTTTCCATGGCAACCCATATGTTTGTATGCATGGCTTATGTGATATATATGTGGCTTTTATAGCTAATATGGTATGTGTTATGTGGATTGTGTGTAGGGTATGCTATGGGGGACTCACTAAGCTTTGTGCTTACGGTTTGCACTTTTGGTTTCAGGTGGCATCGATTGGAAAAGAAGGGTTCGAATTGATCGCAGTGCACACACCTATGATTTCCGCAATGAATGATTTTGGGATGAACTTTGATAAATGTTTTACTTAATGATGATTTGAAATGTTTGAAATCAATGGTATCAATGTTTTAGCTATATTAAAAATGAAATGTGTACCCTTGATTTTTGAGTCGTTACAGATTTGGTTATTACGAGTCTATAGATTAAAAACATATTATTTCTTCTTTTATCCCGATTTGGTCTTTGATTAGGCCCGTAACCTATCAGGTTTCACCATCGAGTTAGCAGGCTAAGAAATATCATAACTAGTTTACACGTCCCACTTAGACATTTTATGTGTTATGCTTATAGATTTGTGAATATTTGTTAATGGTCTACGTTTTTTAATTATATTAATTCCACTGTTGTAAAAATCCCGATTAATCTCTGCTTAATCCCTAGGCGCTACTCGACCGACTAGAAGGCGTCTAGCGATTAATCTCTGCATACATAATAAGTTAAACTGTATAAAACGATAAAATTTTAACATTTTGAAGAACTTTTATCTCAATGGAAACTATTTCAGGCATGATTACTATGTATTAATCATATTAATCAATTTTGTTACGATATTAGTGGTACTTACGAACTTTGATATGATATTACTCATATTTAATTTTTTTAAAATTCAATAAATTATCAATTAATGGTCCCCGATTAATTCTCCGTTTAATCTCCGCCTAGCCGATTAATCCCTTAACCCCAGTCCTCCGACTAGCTAACGTCGAGCATTTTTTACAACCTTGATTAATTCCCACTTATAGGTTAGTTTTACTTGTGAACATTTGGGCTTCATCAACACACCTACCACCCAACTATAGAATAAGTCTATAGTGACATGTTAAAAACAAACATATATTTCATTAATGGAAATTATCATTATATATGTACAAAACCATTTATTTTTAACTTTTTTGAATTGAAATTCAGAATAATATGAGAACTTTGTTTCTTTCTATTAATAGATGCTTTTACTCCATTCATTTTCCTATAATATCCTTTCTTTGTTGACTGAATCTCTTAGATTCTGCTTTGATCTGTTAAACTCCACTTATTTGGCAAGTATAATGTTCTTCATTAAATCAAGCAGCTTGAGCTCATTGGCCGAGCTTGAAGGCCTACTAGATTTGGGAGTGAATTTCGACCGGTTGCAAGTTATTTTAAGAGCAAAAAGAAGTAAAAAAATTTAGTTAATCAGGAAAATGAATGAGTAAATGTTTACAAAGTGAAGTTTTGTTATGGTTTTACTAGATTTAAATAGACTTTGGATAAAATAGTATGTATGGATTCTAGTGAAACCATAAAGGGCTATTATTGTAATATGTGAAGTTTTTGCCCATAATATGGTGATTGGAAAAACTATTTCCTATTCTAGTGTGGTTTCAAAAGTATTTACCATATTAGTATTACTCTAATTTAAAAACTACTATACTCCTTCATATATGAAGTTTTGGGTTGGAAAACAAAAAGCAATTGAATATGTGTTTGGAAACTAGAAAGAGTCTTATGTCACTTACCAAAATATATAGGCGCATTTTAAAAGTTCAACCCAATAACTATAGTTGAATGGTGTGTTTCAAGATCGACCGATGTAGCTGAAGTTGGCTACAATCACCATTTAATGAAATATTGTTATTTTGTAATCCGAAATCCTAAGGGAAAATGACACATTAGCCCTACTAAGTATTGCATATTTGCTCATTCAGTCGCTTAAGTTATTTTCGTGTTTTATGAGGGAACAAACTTGTTAGTGACCTGTCCATGTCCATTTAGTCATTGTACCTCCTTTAACCGGTTAATAGCGCCATAATTAAATGAAATGCCACATAATAATCTTTTTTATTAAAAGAGGGCCACGTTGATTAGGCATCTGGTTGAAAAACATCCCTGACTTCTTTCAGACATTTCCATCGAACAGTTTATGTGCACAATTCATCCTTGACTTCTTAGGTGGTATTTGGCTAAGCTTATGAGTTTTCATAAGCACTTTTCAACTTATAGCTTATAACTTATAAGTTGATAAGTTATGGGGGACTTACTTATAGATTTTGACTTATTTCCGGCATGGCACCTTGATAAGCTATTCCTATTCAAACACTCTTTTTAGCTTATACCGGTGTGGAACCGGTAATAAGCTAAAAAGGAGCTTAAATAAGCTTAGCCAAACACCCTCTTATCTAGAATAAGCGACAATGAAAACTAACTTTTGGATGCAAATCCATTAGTAGTGGAAGGAAACAAGAGCAGATCATGTAAATGGAAGCTATCTATCATGCTGGTGTTCAACGCTAAAGAGGAAGGAGAAAGGAGGAAGACGATGGTGGAATCGTTGAGGTTGAATGAAGGAGGTCGTTGGTGTTCAACTTACTAAATGTATAGTTAGTTATAAGAGTAAAAAAGATACCAATTCCCTCTAGAATCCATATCTGGTACCAATATTGCATTCTTCACAAATTTGCGAACATATTTAAAGGACCATGGATGATGAATTGGAAATGTGTGATCTCTTCCTTCTGATCCTTTCCATACAGGCTGATAAGTAACCTACTTCAAAGCTTCCTGAAATTATAAGTTGCAACAAATTTAGCAAAAAATGGAGGTCGGTTACAGAAAGAACATATGAAAGAAATAGCTACGAAAGCTTGAATACACACCCACACCTGTAAGGCGTCTTGCATTGTTGTTTCTCACACAAAAAGAAGCTAATAGTTGTGAAAAATGGAATATAGAAAAGATCAACATCCTACTTCCGGTGAACTCTTACAACACTTTTCAAAAGCCTTTTGGATTCTAAAGTAATCAAATATGCCCACAAGCAGTAGTTAATTGAGTACTGCAGAGATCGACAATCAAGATAAAACAGGTTAAAATGGATAATAAAATTGCATTTCTGGGAAAAGAAAGAACATACTTGTGAGAATTTTAGAGTGAGAAAGAATTATGAGAGAAGATGAAGCGGGAGGAGGATTTTTTTGACATTTCAAAGTCAATGCTTTTGGAAAATGGGTTAATGTTGATGTAGCAAAGGGATAACTGGTTACCCATTCATTTTGTCTAAAGTGATCAAATCGACCCAACAAAAACCACTTTATTCCCTTTAAAGGCACAAAAAAAAAAAACTTTAAAGACTTAATTGGCAAAGTCGTAATACATAATAGGTTTGTTGCGTTACTTTTCCAAATCCAAAATGTATGTTCGTAACAAGACATTACAGATTAGTAATCCAAAAATAATGCGGTCATTTCCTTTTATTTTGTCATTCCAAAAGGTCATATTTAAAAAAATAATAAAATAAAAAAAAATCCTGAAAATCAAACCTATAAAATAAATTCATTTGTGGTGTATGTTCGATCGAGTAAGATGGATCTAGGGTTCTTCAGATCAAAGCTAAATCTTTGGTTATGTTGGTTCTTCAAAACTAGACTAGAAGAACAAGTTTAAGCTTCATGGGAATAATATGTTTGAAATTTGTGGTGACTTGTGATAAGGTGAAGAGGGAAAAAAACTAAGAAGAGGGAGGCAAGAGGGGCTAGAGGATTGATTTTCCGGTGAGTTATAGACGTTGGCTAAGGGTGTGTGTGTGTGTGTGTGTGTGTGTGTGAGAGAGAGAGAGAGAGAGAGAGGGGTCAATGGTGACCTGCAGAGTAGATCGTTAACAAAAGAGAGAATGAGAGGGACTGGTACATGGTCATCGGCCCCCATCCGAAACGCAAAGGGGTGAGGGATTGTATATTTGGCTCCTTGTTAATTCTATAAAATAAAAGAAATAAACAAATTATAAATTTAGAAAAAAAAAATACAAAAAGAATGTAGTAGTACAATCATTTTACATCGGCTAGGGATCAAAATTTAAATGAAAAAAAAAATCATAGAGATGATGAAAAGAATGAGGTTAGGGATGAAAGTGAAACTTGAAAATTACCCCGAAACATATGGAATATACTCTTTTATGAATGGTCAAGATTCAAGACTATTATATCATAAGTGGTACCAAAGTATAGAAATAATGTTGAGTCTGAAATCCTTCCTATATTAAACGGTTTGGTAATTACAAGACATGTTATTTGTTTAAATTTTGGAGAATTACAAGTAGTACTAGCCAAATCTTTTGGCGAAAAGTCCTTGAATGGAGCCAGCCAAAATATAAAGTGTTAGGATGAGACAAAAGATGGTATAAATACGAAGAAGAATCCAGTTGAGGGACCAAGGTACAACCTTGTTGTGCACAAAGTACATCTCAACAAGGAAATAAATGGTCAAAGGCCAGAAGATGACGGACCCTGCAAATGCCACGACTTGGTTGAAGTAAGGGAACATCATCCCTACTGACATGGTCAATATCACGTATATCGTCCGAAAGCATATTCTAACAGGATTCACACTTTTTATAGTAATAAACAAACAGACCCTAACATCCCTTTCCCTTGCTAACATGCTTTCTGGGAACTTTTCAGCATACCATCTTTCCACAATTGCAAACAATGTCTGACTGTATATCTGCCAACATGCACACAATTTAAATTCAAATTATGATGTCTTAAATTAAATATCATTACCTGATACCCTCCAACCAGATGGAGAACAATGCATGCGTTACCAAAGTCTATGAGCCAGAATGGTTCATAGAATCCAAAGCCAGTCAAAAGATTCCCAGGAGTCGAATCTCCAAAGGCTGCATACCCACAACCACCACAGCATAGGTAGAAGAAACTAGTTGTAAAGATTGCAATGCTGGAAGCCTTCTTCATTGTCTCTTTTTGAGATGGGGGTGTCTTCAAAGTGCTCTATACCACCAATCATCAAACACACAGCATTTCATGAAAAAACAAGGACACATCACACCATATATACCTGTATTTCAAGAAGGATGAGCGAAAACGTAAATGAAAATGCAATGTCTCCAAGAGCTGAGCAACCAGCCATACTTTTTGTGTGGGGTTGGTTGTTGAGATGCCATTGATGCTACCTTGGATCTTCCCTTGTCCTGTCCAATTTCCATCACTTCATCAGATGCTTTGCTTTTTAATTGATGATCGATTCAGACTTGAGAGAGATGCATACCTATTACTTGGGCCAATCAACGTCCCATTCCAATAAAAGAATAGGTGAAGGACATGGTTGCAGCAATAACCGATAGCCATTTTGTATGAAAAATGTTGGGTATTTGAGACGCTGCTATTTCAACAATTCCAAACAAAAGCATATAGTAGGTATCCTCATATTCGCAAGCAGCTTCATGCCCTTCTTTGTGGTAGCAATTTGATTGCCTAATTGCCCTGTCAAAACCTTCAAACTTCAACATTTCATAGCAACTAATTGTTGCTAACACAATAGAATTTCAATTTGTAGAAAATTTAGCATACCTCATGCTAATCGCAGATGTAATTGTATACACAACTCCTATTTTGAATATACTGAAATATACCAAGCATCCACATACCCATCCATTTTTCTTTCCTGAAATCCAAGTACAAAGTTGTAAATGTAAATCGATGATTATGAACCACAAGTCAAAATAATAATAATAATAATAATAATAATAATAATAATAATAATAATAATAATACAAGCTCACCTAAAATACTCTGAACTGCCAGCAAGTAGGAGCGGTTCATAATCATGGTGGTGGTGCCATTATTGGGGTTAGGGTTAGCATAAAGATGGATGTCACAGATAAAGGATGCAGAGACGAGGGTAAAAAAGGCGAAGAGTAAAAGAGACAATGGACCAGCAATCCACCCCAGCTGTGCCATGCTCCATGCCAAGGATAGAACACCTGATCCTATTACTCCTGTTATAATATGTGCTAGGGTTGTCCATACATTGCCTTCAATCAAAAACACAAATATCAATTCAATAACATCATCATTGTCATCAAGTTCCTACACCCTAGTATATATCGTCAGAAACAAAATTAACCGCATCGCCTTATGAATTTAAAATTAATTCACTGAGAGAAGTAGACTCGACCTGTTAGTTTATGAGGTGAGGTTTGCAACAATGGCGTCTGCTGGTCTCGTCCAGCCATTGGTCGATTCTTCTGTGTTCGATATGTGATAATACATATCTGTTTTTTTATTTATATGATTTTTTTATCTAAATTTCATATAAATTTATTTTTAAAAAATATAAATACATATTTTTATGTTTTTTATAAATAAAAAATAAAATCTTAAAATTATTAATATATTTTTTAGAAATATTGATATCTATTTCTATGTATCTAGAAATATATCAATCAAAAGAGTTTTTATATGAAAAAAAGTAGTTATATTTCTAAATACATAAAGATACATATTTATATTTTTAGAGAAATATAAATATATATATATATATATATATATATATATATATATATATATATATATATATATATTTTTAGAAGCATGCATATGTATTTATATGTTTTTATAAGTATAATGGCGTATTTATACGTCTATAGAAATATAATATGTATTCTTACATTTTTTTAAAGTATAAATACATAATTTTACGTTTTTAGAAGTATAATTACATTTTTAGATATAAATGTGTATTTATACTTTTACAGAAAAATATGCATTTTTACGTGTTTTTAGAAGTATAATTGTATTTTATTTTCGCATAAATGCTTTTTTTATTTATATATTTCTATGTTTATAAAAATATGTATCTATATTTCTAAAAAGGTTATTTGTATTTTTTTTTTAAAGTGTATTTATGTGATTTTTAGTTAAACTTTTATAGTGTATAAACACGTCTTTTCTACATAAATAATATGAGAAATGAAAATTCATACTTATTTTAAGAACATAAAAAAATTATAAAATTAAAGGTTTTTTGTATAATATTTCAGAAGATCGTCAATGTCTAGTTGCATCTCACTTTTGCTTCCTCCTTCATGCTTTAACATTAACATATGATATATGTTGATATAGTTGTTGCGAAGTATGATAATAACGGTATTTATCTATTTAATTATTGAGTAAACTTTTCAAAATATTGAACATATTCTCTTAGAAAAAATAAAATAAATATATGATATCGCATCAAAAGATTATAAAAGCATGTATATCAACCACTCAATCGATAATATATAATTTTAAAATACTCAAAAAACGGTATTTTAATATTAAATAATTTTTCTTGGTTTATGGATCATTCGTAAGATACTTAAACACTTTTATTAATCACTGTCTTACTTAAGGGTGTTCAAAATTCGATTCTAAAGATCAATAAAACAAAATTAATAAAATGAGGTTGTGACTATATTCCACCTTATTCTTAATTTAAAAATTAGAACCCCACCTCTTGATTTTTAAACTTAAAATCCAGCACGTGTTGAACCGACAAAACCCCAAGTTTCTATATCCGGTTTGCAACCAAACCTATTTGAAATTGAACTTGTTTAAATCCATCCATTTCTTGTTTCATAAATATTAAATCTTCAAGCGTGGTTATATTTCATCAGATGAAGGCCCTTCTTACTTACATCATAGAAGGAATGAGGGTTTTTTAAAGGGAGAGGTAAAGGGAGGGAGAGAGAGAGAGGGAGAGAGAGAGAGTATACATTGCTATTTCTGTTTGTGAAAATGTATTTTTGCCACATGGATCTCTCTCTCTCTCTCTCTCTCTCTCTCTCTCTCTCTCCCCGGTGGTTGAGTGCAAATATGGTGGTTCCCCTGGATGTAGAAATGACAACAATGCCTTCCCCATTCGTTGATAGACGGCAGCTAGGGTTCCGACAGCAGTGCGTAAAGGTTAGAGTTGCGATGGCAAATCAGTTTAACGATATTAGTCAAACAAATCAGAATCATGCTAGGGTTCCAATGGACTTCGAGTATGTAAATGTGGGTTGTACTCTGGTGAATGATCAATCTTCCAGTAAAGAAAGGTGGTTGATTTGAGAGATTTCTGGTGAATTTTGATAAAACATAGAGAAACTGGAGAAGATGAAAAGTTATCTTGAAGAAAAAGAAATGTAAAGAGATAGGTAAACACTATATACGAGAAAAGAGAGAGAAAGAGAATAAGCATGAAGGAACTCCGGCAAGAATGGTGTCTGGCGACGGTGGTTCCATTCACCGGTGGTGGAGGATGGAGCTGGTGATGAAGGGGCTTCTATGGGAGGGGTTTGGGTTATTTTCTTTTATTTATCTTTTTGTTTTATGTTAAAACAAAAATCAAATTAATTTATGTATTTCAGCAATTAAAAAAATAGAAAATATAAATTATAAGGGTATATTCGTCTTTTTAAGTGTGTAAGGACCAAAATCACTAAAAAGATTAGAAATGGGACCAGTTTTGCACCGCCAAACTTTTTTGGACCAAATCCATATACTTTTGACAACCACAGAGACCATTTTTACAATTTTGTCTAGGAAATGAATTGAAAAAGAATAAACTTTTAAAAGGAAAAATCTACACAAGAATATATAAAGTGAACAAATAAAGTGTCAATTTTGAAAACACAGTTGTAAAAAAATTTAAAAGAAAAAATATTTATTAAAAACAAACCAAGTTTTAGAAAAATATTTAAAATAAAGTTGGAAAACTTTTATAAAAAGCTTGGACCAAATTTGAGAAAAAAGGGACTAATATAAAACATGAAAATTGGGTGGGCTGCCATGAATCCAAATTCGAAAAAAAATTATAAAAAAAAAAAAAAAAAAAAAAAAAAAAAAAAAAACAACAACAACAGGGACTATTTCTGTAACTTTTTCTCACTCTGGGACCATTTCTGTTTATTTGAAAACTACAAGGAGCAAAAAGAAAAAGAAAAAGAAAAAGTACTATAGGTTATCTGGTCTTGGGATCCGTATTGTGAAATGTAATGTATATAATTTTGGAGAAAAATACTAACCAAATCTTTTGGAAATCAATCCTTGAAGGGAAGCAGCGAAAGTAAAAATTGTTAGAAGCATACAAAAAATGGTATAAATACGAAGAAGAATCCAGGTGGTTGTCCAAGGGAGAATCCTGTTGTACAGAAAGTACATCTCAACAGGGAAATATATGGTCAAGGGCCAAAAGATGATTGATCCTGAAAAGGCGAGGACTTGATTGAAGTAAGGGAATAAAATCGCTACTGTCGTTGTCAAAACAACATATGTAGTTCGAAAACATAACCTAAAAGGGTTCACTCTTAAACTCCCAATCCCAACATCCATTTCCCTTGTCATTATCTGGAACTTTTCCGCATACCATCCTTCCACAATAGCAAACAATGTCTGACTATATATCTGTAATCAAATCAATGTATCTTAATCAACAAGAAAGAAACAAGACTGAAAAACCACAATCAAAAGTACCTGATAACCCCCAACTAAGTGGACAACAATGCATGCATTACCAAAGTCTACAAGCCAATACGGTTCATAGAATCCAAACCCAGTCAAGAGATTCCCAGGAGTTGAATCTCCAAAGGCTGCATACCCAGATGCACCACAGCAGATGTATAAGGAAGCAGTTATAAGGACTCCAATAGTGGACGCCTTCTTCATGGTCTCTTTTTGAGGCGGAGGTGACTTTAAAGTGCTCTACAACAGAAAAAAAAATATATATATATATATATATATATATATATATATATATATATATATATATATATATATATATATATATATATATTATTGCTTGAGCCAAATATTATTATTATGCCTGGCATACCTCACCTGTATCTCAAGAAGGATTAATGAATATGTAAACGAAAATAAAATATCCCCGATAGCTTCGCCAACCAACCATACTTTCTGACTTGGATTACTAGTTGAGATTCCATTCATGCTCCCTTCAATCCGCCCTTGTCCTGCCATATTCAACTTCTTCATCTTTACATGTACATGCATTATTAATTTATGCTCCAACAACAACATTTACCTATTACTTGGGCTATCCCAAGTCCTATTCCAATACAGGAATAGGTCAAGGACATGGCTGCAGCAATAATTGAGAGCCATTTCGTATGAAAAATGTTGGGTATTTGAGAAGCCACTATTTCAACAACACCAAACGCAACCATATAGTATTCATTCTTGTATTCACAATCACCCTCATGCCCTTCTTCATGGTAACAATTCGATTGCCTAATTGCTCTATTCACCAAACAAATTCAGTATCTAATATATCTACTAAACACAAAATAGGAAATCAGAAACTGTTGGAATGAATGAATCATGCATTAACTGTGATTGTAAAAAAAAAATTGTACATTACTTACCTCTTAGGCAGAAAAACGTAAGTTCCATACTTCCAATAAGGTACAAATATAAAATTGGTAAAAAAAAAAAAAGTTATTAAGCATAACATACCTCATGCAGATTCCGGATGTGATTACATAGACAACTCCTGTTTTGAATAGACTGAAGTATACCAAGCATCCACATATCAATCCATTCTTATATCCTGTGATCGGAAGTACAAAAGGAGATAGATATTAAGTTGCAGCCTGGAAGTGCGTGCGTGGTGCTTATAAATTATAAATTATAATAACACGATCGGCCTCACCTAAAATCGTGTGAACCGCCTGCAGGTAGGAGTGGTTTAAGGTAATGCTAGGGTGAATGTTGCTGATAAGGAAGGCAGACACAAGGGAGAAGAATGCGATGAGTATAATAGATAGTGGGCCAGCAATCCAACCCAGCTGTGCCATGCTCCAAGCCATTGATAAAACCCCTGACCCTATCACTCCAGCTATCAAATGTGCTAGGGCTGTCCATACGTTTCCTTCCCCATCCACAACACAAACCAAACAGATAAATACCTCATAAAATTCAATACCCCCAAACACCACCAGAATCTACTCTATACCTTTAAAAAATCAACTTAACAAATAACCTTTTTTCCCCTTAAATTCAGCTCGTCTCATGTCTTTATTGGTTCGTTTGATTTTCTAATTCATGGAGCACGCATATAAGGAGGAGTGAAGTAGAGCATACCAGTGAGTTTAAGAGCTGAGGTCTGCAGCAATGGCATCTGGTCTTCTTCCTCTTCGTAGTCTTCTCCGGGCATTTTTCCTATCCTTGATTCTTCCCTGATATACGAGATAATACGTGGTTTTGTGTTTTGGAACATAAATATTTATCTGATTGGTGGTCGCTTTCCTTGATCTCCAAAGATTCCTCCCAGAAGACTTCCGGAAAAAGGGGTGGTTCTTTATAAAGTTATATTTATATATGAAAAATAATATTCATGTTTGTAAAGTTTCTGAGGTTGGTAGATTGTCTTTAAGGGTTTTTTTTTTTTTTTTTTTAATTATGAGGATATAAACAAGAATACCATCTACTCTCTTAATCATTACCATGAGGCAGTGACCATTTAAACAAACAAACAAAAAAAAAACAACTCGCATTGTCCTTCTAAAGCTAAAAAAGATTTATGGTGTTATAAATTACTTTATTAAACTTATAATTTCATCTATTTTGCATCAAATATTATATATTTAAAATAAAAATATTCAAGATCAAAATTAAAAAATAAAGACTTTAAAGAATAAAGACTTTAAAGGTAAAAAATGATAAATAAATAAAAAATGAAATGGAGATAATATTTGACTATCACTTTTTAAAATCAAATCCAGTTCACATGTTCATAACATTTATTTAAGTTTAAATACATCTTATTGTTAAGACCAACAGGATAAAGAGTAAAAATTAAATGTTTAAAAATGAATTATAATTTTAAAATGTTAATTCTATAAATATGAAAATATAAATATATGACATGGCCACCTGGGTAGTGGGATGGCCCTTTTTTGCTCTTTAGTCGTTTGACATGCTTTTTTTTTTTTTTTTTTAGCTTCTAACTTTAAAAAAATTAGAAAAAAAAAATATTATTAGACAGCAAAAACTTTTAATTTTAACTACCATTTAACAAAAAAAAAATCTTTTAAATTTTAACAAATTGACTTAAATATCCTTTAAAATAAATAAATTATATTCATACTTTTGGTAATTATCCTATACTATCAAATGTAAGTATATTTCAACAATTATAATTTCTTTGAAACAAAACATATTTTATACGCTTAATTATAAATATAGTTCGACAATTATGATATCTTTATTTAAAACAACTATATCAACGAATTTTATAATTTATTAATCTTCATCTATCAAAATAATAAACATTTATTATATAAATTTATAAACCCAAATAAATATCAGACAATAATATTGTTTCATTTAGAATGTCGAAAGACTTGTAATATGTTTAAAATGTTTGGCTTGAGTTCTTACAAATTTGATAAATCTTATTTACTTTATTTATAAAAAAAAATTCATAATTTACTGATATGTAATTGAAAGGATGGAAATGTTGCTTCTATATATAATAATTATGTTTAAACGTGAATGGTACAAGAATACATACGACAGCACAAAGATTTAACAAAGACCCAAGGTAGAACACCATTATAGTCTAAAGTGGGACAAAATGGAAAATACACATAATGATAGTACGACAGAGATAACAACGGAAATGAAGTTCATGTAACCTACCTGTAAGTATTACAAGTTTTTTTTGAAGCTTGTAGTCCTAAAAAGATAGGACAAAAAGGGTTATATGCATGAATCTTAAAAAATAAGGCGAATAGGACAAAACATGAGAAATTGTGGCAATCATGTCAAATGAGTTATAGTATGGTATAAATTGTGTTGGGACATGTTATAATATCTATTAGGAGTAAAATGGTGTAAAAGGTTTAGTAGTTAGACATGAATTTGAAGAAATAGCAAAGTGGGTTGCTATAATTGGCAAAAGGAACAAAATAGATTGATATAGTGTGCAATCATTGGATAAAGAAAGATAAAGGTTATTTATAATGAAATGATGGTTCTTGATGTTTTGGTGTATGAATGACAACAATCTGCTCTATACTAATATTGTACAACATCTTCTTGCCAATTCTTAAGAGTGGTTTTAGAGCGGTTATAAAACAGAATAAAAAAAAAAATTTAAGTTAAATAGGAATAAGATGTATCCAATTTAGAGTGAGAATGAAAAGGATGCATACAACAACATATTAAATCGGCAGTTGAACTTGTAATGACTAATGAGTTGTTGTTCACACTTGAATGGTGATGTTCCATGCATTGTACAAGTCTTTCTCTGGAGCAGTAGTTGGTAGTTTGATAGTAATCAATCCAGTTTCCTCTTGATACCCAAAGTCGGCAGCATCTTTGGAATTTGAACCAATGGTGACTCTTTTTGGTCTTGTAGTTGAATATGCTCCAAACAGATCACCACAGCCTCCTCTAACTTTCAACCAAACGGTTCCTATTTGTTCCTCTATCTCATCATCATACTTTACCTCCACAATCGCACCTCCAGAGTTAAACATTTGAATGAGGCCTATGGGAGCAAAACCAATCCCATTCCCACCTCCACCTGACAATATTGTCTTCACAGGAACCACCGTAAAAACCTCATATTCTCTAGGTTTCAATGTTACTGGGATAGATGCATTCTTTGGAAGGTAAACCAGTTCTCCTGCAAAATATAAGTTGTAGGAGTGTGTTGGAATATAATAAATTAAGTTTAAAGATTTTGTGTTTAAAAAGAAATAATTAAAGTACATACCACGAAGGTGACTATATACAATGGCATCTCCAACCCAAGTAGAATCTGCAACTGTATGCAAGCAATTCACATCTTCAGCTCGGATGCTGCCAGTGATGGTGCCTGGTCGCTCATCGTGGGTCAGGATCTTCTTTCCATCTTTACACCACCCTGCTCCCTGGCAGTTGAAAACTCCCACCACTCCACTCAAATTGTTTAAATTCCAGATCTTCAAAAGACTGCATCACCATCCATCCATGCATACATCTTTTATTAAACAACACCAAACCATGCACGATGCATGCATCATCATGTTTTAACTTTTAATTAATTAATTAATATACATCCCATCTGATAGTACTGATACTGATAAATCACCTTTTTCCATCTCTGGTGGGATCGCAAAACAAGCAATCTCTAGTTGGCCTCCCTGGAAGTTTCGCCCTTAATATCGATCCATCAGGAAGCACAAGCTTCTTTAACAAATTGAAGTCGTGATGCCCAGGCTTGTCACTGCATTATTGTATTTATAAATTATTTTTATTTTATATATATATATATATATATATATATATATATATATATATATATATATATATATATATATATATATATATATATATATATACATGCATGCAAATAAAGACACACAGAGACCCCCGCCTCACCTGACATAAATAGCACAGCCTCCCACGGCACGAGCAGCACCATGGTATTCAGCCATCGGATGCAGGCTCTATATATATCATGTAAAATTAGGCACAAGAATTGATAATTAAAAAAAAAAAAAAAAAAAAAGTGTCTGGGAGTGGGATGTATGTTAATGTTAGCTTACATGAAACATATCCCAGTCAGGCTGCATGAACTCTCCAAGAAAGATGGTGTTGTAAGCAACAGAAGCAATATGGACTGTGTGGGAAGCTGTAACCCTTGGCCAGAAATCATCTGATGCCCTTATAACAGCTGTCCGCTTTGCGCTTGATTCATGAAGTAAGTATTAAATTTGAATTACCAGGAATTTAGATCATGCATACAAAATAGGTACCTACCTACCTGTACAAACCATCGGTGTTGTGACTCATGCAAGAAATGATTCCGTTATCAGGGAAGTTCCTGGCAATGGAAGCCTCCAATGCATGGTGGTACTTCCTGGCAAGTTTCACCCGACCACCATGTCCCGCTCCAAGTGTTTCAAGAATGTTTTGTGCATCTACTTTCACCCCATCAACACCAGCAGACGCTAGATATGAATGCAACTCGTTGTAGAAGTCCAACACTTTCTCAGGGTGCACAAGACCAAGCCCGTTTTTGGTAATGGCTTTCACCGCATCACACTTCTCATTCCACTCCGTTCCTGGAGATGAAACCGGGAAACACAATTTGGAATCATAATGTTCCATTTCCGCCACTCCAGGTCTCACTCCACCCCAATATCCAGTTATCGCATGCCACACATAAACATACCTACCATATACATATATATATATTTATTTATTAGTGATTACAAATTAATACCCGATCGATCAACATCTAACAAACTGATTAATGAAGAAAATCGATTGTACGTACGTACTTGATGTTATGGTGTTCTTTAATGTCCGTGACAACGTGACGGAGTCCCATGGATGGATCCTCCACTCGGTGACCTTCTTTACCATCTTTCTGGAATTTGTGGTTCTCTTTGATATGAGTTAACCTATTTGCATAACTATACGAAATTTGGGAAAAATCTTTATCAAACATATACTATATATTATCATTTATACAGAAGAAAAACAAGTGACGCTTTAGTTTAACTGTTTAAGTACTCACTTAGCTGTATTATCTGCTTTAGCTTCATCACTAGCTGGATCCATACCAACAGATTGCCATCCATCATCAATGATTACAAATTTTGGGGAAATTCCTCCTTTCTCGAAACTGTATTTAAACTTGTCACATCATCATTGATTCAACGATTAATAGAGATTTATTGGAATGGCAAATGATAAGAGTTATACCTCTCAAGCCCTTGTCTCACACCTTCAGAAGTAACATCAGTGTAAAAAGCATCCCATGTGCACCACCCAAACCAATTCAAAATGTCAGGCATCTGAGCCAGTTATGATGAAAAGAGAGAGAGAGAGAGAGAGAGAGAGAGAGAGAGAGAGAGAGAGAGAGAGAGATTATTAATTTAGCATCCATCAATTAGTTAGTCATCGTAGAGAATCAATCAACCAAACTACCTTCTTCCGTTCGCGATGACAAAATGTCTGTAAATGTCTCTCTACACTCCTGTACAATTTTAAAATTCATGTATGAATCTTTATGTATTGTGTGCATGTACATATTAAATGCTGCAGATATAATCAATGTTAATTAAATCTTCAGCATTTAACATGTATCATTTGTTTCTTTAAATAACTAAAATGATTGGTCCACAAGAGGTTGGCCATACTTGACTGCGTTTGTGATAACATCAAACGGATCGGATCCAGCAGCCACAAAAACCAGATGACTCCCTTCAAATTCTTTCACAGCAGGATCTCCTACAAATTCATATACGTTCTTGTAGTTATGAATACCAACATATATATATATATATATATATATATATATATATATATATATATATATATATATATATATATATATATATATATATATATATATATATTAAACATCACAAGGCAGGATTCTTCAATACCACTTTCCAAGCAAATCTCC